AAGAACCATGGTCTCTCCTTCTATTCAATGGGGGAGTAAATTAGGAGACATTCATTTTTCTAGTTGCACAAATAGCATCTTGATGAAAAAAATAATCTCTAGCATTTTAACATCATATAACCTGAATTGCATATGAACAGACATTGATGCTACTGCAGTTAGCAGACCTCTTAGATTGAAGATTAAATTAGAATTCTATTTGCCAGGGGTTAATCCTTCATTACCTCTGGTCTCCAAAATATGAAAACCGCACATCGAATTAATCTCCTAAAATGAGATCATTAGCAATTTTTTGAGGCTTTGGCAAGATGTTAGATGAGACTGCAGTTTTCAAAAAAGAAACAGAAAATGTCAGATTTTTCATCTGACAAAATAAGTTTATTCTGCTATTTAGGCTTCTAACCAGTAGATTTTGGGCATGAAGAAAAACTATTTAAAACACAGTTCTCAAAGTCTGAAATTCTTCTGGTTTGGGGGAGTCAGTTTTGATTTTGGCAAATGACCCAAAGAATGAGTTTCTTTCTCCATATATTCTGAAAATTAAAATAGCATGTATCTAATTTTAGATGTTAAAGGATGTTGAGAATGTTTCATGTGCATGAACCTAAAGAGAGTTTGGAAAGTAGAAGAGGACTAAAGTTCTGTAGTTCTATCCCAACTCTTTGTAAACTAGATAAAGGATTCAACTTTGTACTTTTGTACCCAGAAGCCCTTATTATTTTTATTCCCTACCTCTGGCAGAATTTTAAAGGGATCATCAAGGCCATGAAAAACATCTTATCCCATTTTCTCAAATGATTCCTTCTCTACTTTCAGCATGAAATATAGTAGGAACTCCAATTTTTGACAATGGTGGATTGAATGGTCCTGGCCTCTGGAGTTAGGCAGACTTAGGTTTGAATCTCAATTCTGCCACCAAATATAGTGTAAGTCTTCAAGCTACTTTCTCTAGACTTCATTTGTAAAATGGATAATCCTGGAATCTGCCTCATATGGTGGTTGTGAGGATTAAATAAAAAAGGCATGTAAAGCACAGAGGGAATGTTTAATGAGTGTCAATTTTTATTGCTACCACTTTTGCTATTCCATACCAACTCCGCCCTCTTTCTACTTCTTCTTCCTCTAGAAGACTTATAAGTCTTTTAGAAACTTACAGTCAGATAATATCCCCAGACAATCTCTTCTATAGGTTAACCATCCATACATGGAATGCTCGAGGCTTCCCCTATCCATGTGGCTTTTCTCTCAGTAATGAAATACCACCAGGGTAGCTAATGCCTGGAGCTCATCATCTTAGACAAACTCCTGAAGCTCAGTGTGAGGACAAAGGCCATTGTCTCCCACTGTACCTGGAGTGGGAGCCACCCCAAATGTAAGTTGTTGGAAATCTGCCCATAAAAACTGGGAAAGAAGATGGCAGAAAGAGCAGCAAGGTATAGCGGATATAAGACAGAAGACTTGCCCAGTGAGCTCTGACTCTGGCCTATTGGTCAACCTATGAGACCAGACTGATATTCATGGATAGGCTTATCTCCCATCCATGACTCTGAGGGACCTGCCTTCTTTCCTTTTGGTAAATTCCTTCCTTCCACCAAGTGTATGGCTCAGTGTCACACACAACATAGGCCTCAGTGAATGCTAGTTATCTTTGCTTTATTCTCTCAGCTCTGGGTCATCATGGATTTAAGCGATGCCTTCCCTGTGTTGAACAGTGAGGCTGGAGAGCAAACTCTATAGCCCAAAGATAGGGACTTCCCTTTAGCTTCCCACTAACACAGTGACTAGCACCCTTTGGTTTCCAAGTAGTGAGGAATCTAATCTCTCATATCTCAGAACTTACATTTATCCGTATTTTCCTAGAGAATATGGTGATTATTTTAAGTTAAAAGAGAGTGGAGAATGCAAATGTAGGTGGCGGTGGTAGGAAATTGAAGAGTATAGCAGATTAGTAAATTATATAAAAATGCAATTAATCTTCTAATATGTGCATGAAGGCACATATTAGAAGAGAGAGCAGAGGAGAAAACACATAACTATTTATAAATAAGGGAGAAAGAAACACATAACTATTTATAAATAGGGAGGAGAAAATACATAACTATCTATAAATCTATTATGTATTTGAGAACACTAGTATATTACCTGAGTGAGTAGAAATAAAAAAACTGATACAAAGATACTGTCTTTAAACTTTTCAGCCTATCCTTAATCTATATGTGCTTTGTAATTTTGCATTCACTTGTCAAACTCTCTGTATAATGGGTATTTTGGAGAGTTGAATTGTGTCCTCCCCAAATGATATGTTGAACTCCCTAACCCTCAGTATCTCAAGATGTGACTGGATTTGGAGATAGGGTTTTTACAGTGGTAATCAAGTTAAAATGAGGATGAACCCTAAAACACCTTGATTTCAGACTTGTGGCTTCAAGAACTATGTGACAATCAATTTCTGTTGTTTTAAATCTAATTTGTGGTACTTCGTTAGGGTAGCCATAAGAAACTTATGTAGTTCATAAAAATTAAAATGAAACACATTTAAAGTTCTTGTAGAAATTAAAATATATTTACTCACATCCTACAGCCAATTAAGTGAATTAAAGTTAAAATCTAAAATTTTAAAACCAGGGAGTTCCACTGTTACTGCTTTAAAAAAATCCCACCTAAAGGTTGGATAGCAGGGCAATTTGCTGATGACTTGGTTTCTACAACACAGTGTACAACCAAAATAAGCTATGGCACAGAGATATTAAGAGCATTCATACTGTGTCAGATCCTGGTGCTGACAGAAGTTAACTTGAAGACTTTTTATTGTCAAGAGGCATTAGTATCAGGCTACATTTCCATATGGATTTTGGCTAACAATCATAAATAACAGAGAACTTTCTCATAAACAATTCCAGAAAGGCAGTGTGTCAGGCAGATGGTTTTTTGGGGGTGGAGTTGGGGAGAGTTTTACATGGTAAGGAGAGTTTTGCCTTGTGCACACTGGCCATTCTGAACTCACCATTGACTTAGGCACCACCAGGAAGCTATGGTTTTGCTCAGCTCCCCAGTGAGTCTACAGTTTCAATGCTTTAAACTTCTCATGCTAGAGAAATATCTTCAGGGTTCTGAAGGAGAAAATATGCTATATTTTGGGAAAAAGGACATTAAGCCCCAGGGAATTACTGTCTTTGCATTAATGGATAGCCACCAAATATGATTTTCATACTTTAGCTCTTCCTTGAGGGTATCAATATGCTGCATTCTATAGGGGTTACACACATACCTATAAGTATGGTACAGACTTCACAGAGGAAGTGTGTACCTTGTAAGGGAATTCTGCTTTGTCACAGAATTTGGCAAGGAGTGTTCCTTAATTCCTTTTGCCCACTTCAGGCACCCTAATCTCAGCTCAGTGTTTAGAAAAGTATTGATGCAGCTAAGTGTCTATGTATAAAGTGCCTGGAATGACAAACATATCAACAGATTTATTGAGAAGGCCAAGATCTCATTACACACATGCAACTACAAAGCATTTTACTACTATAAAAGACATGGTGAGAGTTCTTTTTTCCTTTACTGTGAGCATGTTCAGGCTTTAAGCAGTGGGGTTGGCCTAGAATAGATTTTCCTGTGTGTGCTTTGGGGAAGTCTTGCCGCACTCAGTATGGTTTTGCGTTTTATCATCTGGGATACACAGGCACCGTGGGCCACATAAGCCTTTAGAGATGTCTAGACTTTGAAGTTTAAGCGATATACAATATGAAGTGAAGGACTGATCCTACTGCTTGCTTTAGGTTATAGGGAAAGCATGCAGACAGTGGGTTCTTCTCACTGGGATTCATGCATACTGGCCAGAGAAGTGGCAAATATTGGAATATTTTACAGGGTATGACCAATAAATTGATTTGTACTGAATGGTTGATAAATATTAGAACTTAAAATTAAATGTGTAAAACAAATGTACTGAACTCTAGTAAAATACAAAGTATTTTTGGAAATGATTACCAAAATATTTTAAAATACTGACAGAATTCTGAAAGAGAGGTATATTTATGTTAATGCAAACTGATCTAGTGCTATTAAGAAACAATGTTTTCAAGAACTATAAAAATTTCCATGTACTTTGACCAAGCAGTCTAACCCTTGTGAAATTTATTCATTGAAATAACCAAAAGAAACCTCTTGCATGAAAGTATTCAATTTAATGTTATTTTTAATATATTAATCTGTGAATATTCCAGTAAGAGTGAAATGGTTAAACAAAAGATAGTCTGCTAATTGAATAGAATTTTGGGTAACTAGTATAATAACATTGTCTGTACACTATAAATACGAGGGTATAAAAATGTGTGTCCTCTGAGGCTTTCTAATGAAAGCAGACTGCGAAAGTACATGTTTCTCATTATTACTGTGAACATATGTATATTCATTCATTCATTCTGGAAGTGTTTTTGAGCACCTACTGTATACCAGATGTTGGTGTTAGGTGTAGAAGACACAAAGATGAAAAGATAAAGTTCCTATTCTCATCAAGGGTCAGTCCAGCTGGAAGACAGTCATGTGAACGAATGGAAAAGTATCATAATTCATAAAATGCCATTAGAGGACAGGAGGAGCCTTTGAGTTGGCTGGAGATGCAAGGGGAGATTTTTATATGGACAAAATTTGAAAGGCAATGTAAAGAAAAGAAATCATTTGTATAAGTGTGGAGGTGTTAGGAGTGACTTAAAAAATTTTAAACCTCTTTACTGAGATTTAATATACATATAAAACCCACCTGAAGTGTATAATTCAATATTTTTTAGTATATTCATGGAGTTATGCAGACATCACTGGTCTAAGTTTAGAACATTTTCATCTTTCCAAAGGAATGTTGTATTTTGCTCTTTCAAATTTCTTCCAGTGTTAAACCTTTTTGTAATAAATAACCAAGGCATAAATACAGAAACCTTTATTGTCTGTCACTGTGGGAAACCTTTATGTTGCTTATGAAACAAAGCACAAGTACATCATCATATCTTTAATTTTTAATTTTATTAGTGACAAAGTAAATAGGTACATGAAAATCTTCACATGTACCTATACAGATATCTATACATGTACTTAAATAAAACAAGAGTTGAATTCAAAAGTGGGGTTTCGGGGGTGACTAGTCTATATTGTTTATTTAATGTATAAAAATCTTCAAGTTTGTACAACTTGATTTGCCCATTTTTTCCCAGCTGCAAGAATCTCAAAAGGGATATCTGAAATACAGATAGACTGTAAGAGAAGCACAGCAAAGTATGGATTCTGAAAGCAGTTGGCAATGCTATGCTGAGAAGCAGATGCACTCAGTGCATTGCTAGAATATTCTGCATTTGGAGGGATCTTTAAAAACTCATGACTGCAGGGTTCTCCTGACCTCAGTTGTCCCCCTTTCTGCATCTGCTTCCACATCAAAAGTGGCTGATGAATGCATGATGGTCCTCTGTGAAATACCTATGGGTAGCAGTGACTAACTCTCTAGAGGGGCTGAGATTGTGAGAAATGTGTAGTCTGCCTTTGAAGCCCATAGACTTTGCTCCATTCTGAATCCATTCTTGCTCCTGGCATCTCTAATATCATCAGCTGTCTGTAGGACCTGGCTCACAGGCTCTGACGGGTTTCTAGCACTGAGAGCTTCAAGTTTCCTCATAGATGTTAGTTTAAAGACAAGAGGTGCATTTTCTCAGGGTCCTTTTATAACCCCAAATCCTGAAGAGTTCACTATTGGCCAAAAGTCAGACATGATGACAAGAGTTAAGGCATTTTTTGGGAGCAGAGAGACCTGTTATCCCCTCCAGTCATCACATAGATGACCACCTCCCTGGGAAGCCAGTTCTACATAGATGACTAATACCAAATACCCCAGAGGTGGGTGTGTGACCCTCAAGGTCTTTGAGGCACAATTATCACTCACAGTCAGCCACACACACTGGGAGCCAGACTTTGGTTCCTGCAGACTTGAAACACTACCATGACAGGATTGAATTTTCAAGCAGGGAAAATAGAAACTGTATTTTCATGTGCCTTCCATTTTCTTTCCAAAGAGGCTCTACAGCTGTAGCCAGGTGGCTTGTTTGCAGGTTAAGGCATGACAGAAAATTTAGTGTCCGACTATGGCTCATATTTAAAATAAAGTGTGATTGTTGAGATTGGGATACAAATTTTCCAACTGCTTTGTAAACTTAAGTATTTTGGTCTGCTTGTTCTACTAAATATTCAGGATATTAATTTAAAAAATAACTAATGCCAGTGTAAACATGCTTTAGATACATAGGTCTGTAAAATATTGCACATAAATATAAAATTTGTTCAGCATTTCTCCATAGTAATTTTGCATTATGATAAAAAGGATACAAAATTGTGCAGACTACATGAATTTGGCTGGTCAATTTTACTTCAAAAATGGTAATATTACACACAATTATGGATTATTTACAAGAGTTTTAAACATCAAGTTTTTGTGATGGTTAAATTCAAGATATTGGAAAAATAGCTTAAATAATGATTATTTTCTAAAGTTATAACTATAAAGATTAGCAGTGAAAATGAAGTTGGACTAGGCAATTCTAAACAAAATTCTTAGGAGTCTATTTCTAGGTTTATCTCACATCTGCATAACTTTATATTCCCTTGCTATTTATGCTTAACATGTCTTCTTTGTGTATATAAGTTTGAGGTATAGTAATAAAATATTTAATCCCAAGATAACTATTGATGTTGCTTCTTATAGATCACAAATGTAATATGTTTACTCATTTAGTTAAATGGCTTTTTTACTAATGGACTCTAGACATTTACCATTACTTTTAAATACCACACAGGCTCAACAGTATCTTGAAATGTGTATATTGCTCATAAAATCTATGGAAAGATTTTTATTTTAAATAAAAGGAAATATAAATGCAACTTTTTGCAAAGCTAAATCAAGCAGATGTGAGTCCCTGTAAAGTGTGAGTAAAAGTAGTTTCAGGTAGAAGGCAGCAAGGTATTAAGTGAAACTGTCACCTAATCCTTAAGAGGCTCTGTTAAATGATTTATTCTGCACACAATGGTTATCTTAGAAGGAAATTTAGTGTATGATTTCAAAAACCAGCTAACCAAGTCTTAATTTCCAAATCCTCTAGATGACTAGAGTATTAGCCTAGAGAAATGGAAAATAAATAAATAAATTGTTATCCTCACTTACAAAATTATCTTTGTCATTTTAAAAGTACTTTTACAGTACCAACAACATATGCTTGTCTCCCTGAGCCATAATGTCCTTTCCATAGGGAGGTGTCAAATGTTCCTTTGGGTACAGTAGTGTTGGAAGGTTTAGTCCTAGTTTACCTTCTAAATTCTATCATAATTCAGACATTTTGTCTTTGTGACTGGAGTTGGATTTACCTGGAATGCAACCTTAGTTCCCATACCCATTTCAAAGTGTCTGCCAAATACAGAATGACTCAAGCAAAATAAATTCTTCACGATAGTTGGTTGTTTCTACAGCGCTGAGTATGTTTCCTTTCCCAAAAGGGTCACTGAGCTCCTTGGCAACTTCTCCAAAGCACAGTGTAGATGAGGTGGTATATTCTGGCACCTTTCCAATTCCTAGGACACTGGCAGGTCTAGGATAATCTTTGCTTCACCCTCATGTTCCTTTTTTATTTTGAACAGGACCAGTGCTTGAGTTTTTTGGTCTTTGGTTTTCCTTTTTATGCATGAGGGGTTTTCTCATTTGTCAGCTGTTCCCTGTCATTCATATCATCTTGAGGAGGTCTTGCTCTGTCAAAGAATCCACACTACAAAAAAGAAAAATGGGCTATAAAATAAAATCATCCTGGGAATTTATGAAAACTCTCATTATAAGAATTTTCACTTTATATATTTTCTAAGGAACTTGGAACTTTGTGAATATAATCTGCACAATTCTCTGGATTAGGAGGTCAGAGCAGAGTGCTCTTTACCTGCAGAGAGGATTCTTTGCCTAGGGCAGAGTGTTCGTGTCCTTCTTCCTGCCATGTTGTGGTAGTGGGAGAATGTCCTTTTTTTATACAAACCAAGTATGGACCTTATATATTTTCCTGGGATTACAGCAACATGGCCCAAAGATTTCCTCTCTGCTTTTCTGCATGTTTTCTGGTGCCAGCAGCAGCACTTACTGCTGACTAGAGAAGGGAGATTCTTTCCTGAGTGTACTGTAGGCTTCTTGGGATGGATTATAGGAAGAATAAGGAGCTGCTTGCATGTCCCTCTGCACTTCGTGGAACATATAGTATATAAAGGAAAACCAGAGTGGTTATTTATTTCAATCCCAGAACATCTGAGTGACTTTTCAAAGGTCACTGGGAAGCAACTCTGGGAAGAAGTGATTCCAGAATCTTCATCCTCCTGAATTTCAAAATATTTGGTCTAGGAGAATATATATTTTCCTAGAGATCTGGAACCTCATTGGAAATTCAGTTCACTGGGCTTGGCTTATAACTTGTGAGCTGTCTTTCATAGAACTAGTAAAATATTTGGTTAATTACCACTTATTATTGTATCACTTATGGAAATAAGTTACCATAACTAACGGGATATAACAAAAATCTATTTCCAAAGGTAGAAAATGCAGTACTATGTGTGCTCAGGATGGCAAAAATTGATAGTGATAGCCATATAAATTCACAAGGCAAGGTTTTCTTAAGTTAGTAAGCATGATACTTATTGTTTTAAAGTAAAACTACACTATGATTTTGGAGGATCACACCAGTAATGGTTAACTAGATGTGACTTGATTAATTACCCTAGTAGTCATGTAATTATGACATGGTTTCTGTTTTGAAATGGAAAGCTCTGTGGAACCTGGCTGTCATGTTGGTTTTTGGGCCAGAAATTAATTCCTATTGTAGACTTTCAGAACAACCTTCAGTAAAATACATGAAAGAGTAAATTAAGGCTTCCTAATGGAGATGGACTAATTGGCAAGACTGAAAACACAAATCCAAGAATATTACAACATGCATGAGATATTTGGCATAACTGATAGTCCAAAGTATCAGTTAATTACTATATTAATTGTGTAGTGCTTATAAAGAAAAATCTCAAAGGATTGCTGAAAGGACCTTGTCAATAAAGAGATTAGGATCTTAATTAATTCACAAGAAAAAGAAGTCTTCATAATAACATTATCATGCCAAACATATTGGAAAGATCTTAGTTAATAAAGTCTAACTGTGTATTTATTTACAAGAACTCTCAAGATAAAAGCAGCATTAAACACCGTTAGTCTTCTTAAATGTCAGTTACATAAGCATATTAATTTTGCCAAAGGAAGCAAAATACAGTTTTCTCTTTATGTCTTTTAGACTGTTGAAAAATCCCCAAATCATGCATTTAGCATTATCTTTTTAGGTCCCTGGGTATATCTTTCTAAATCCTCTCAGTGGCCTATCTACTCAAGAAGAAAAAGAGTAAATAAACTTACCTTCCATAAAGCTAGGGTTAAAATGGCCAGAACCAATAATCCAAGAAGTATTGCTAGTATTATTACCCATAATGGGACTGAAAAGGAAACGTTTGGCGTTGCCCAAATCACTGATGTCTTAATCTGAAATGGAAAATAAAGCAAATGAGCCCTAACATGAAAGCTATTTGGTGAAATAAAGTAGTAATTACCAATGCAATATTGTGGGTAGTTCTGAAAGGATCCATGTAATAATTGAAATCATCCTAGGGAGATTTGAGGGTTTACAGCACTCAAACATGGAACCTTAAACACTAGCACATTCTCAGGTCTCCTAGGTTGGGTGAAAGTCTAACTATAGATACACAGTGGATGTTTGCTTATAATAGCCCAGAGACCCTAGAATAGAACTGAGATGGACCAGGAACCAAAAAGGTGGAATTACCTTTAATTGGGATGGACCTTTCAAGGCAATAATGGCTAAAAGTAACCCAACGAAAGGTCAAGTCTGTCCATACGTTTCTCCACAGAACTGAGGTAACCTCATTGAGAACTGAGCTTGGGAACAACCACAGACTATTAGATGTGCAATAAAGTTAGAAGTCACCTAATCAAATCCCCCTTACAGATGAGGAATTGAGTCACAGAGGGGCTAAGTGATTCATACAATTAGTTATTGTCACTGCCTCTTTATCCCTAGGATTTGTGCTCTATCAGTGAAAAACATGCCAGAGTGTGAGGCTAGCCATCTTATATTTGTATTGTACATGTATTTGTTTTGTGTCTTGGAAGCACCTGTAAAGTGAGCAAAGTGAACTCAAATTGTCCCTATACATTGAAGCTGCCTTTAATCCCAAATCCAGCTTTCAGTTACTATTGGAACTCCCATTGTATTGGAACATTCTCCCGTGTTGCAAGGGAACTTGGAGGAAAATAAGACCTGCCCAGCAGGACTGCACATGTAGCATCTGTGAATCACCCCTGCCTTCCAAGTGGGCAGAAGCTCTCCTGTTGGCCATGTGCTGGGGGCCTGTGCCTCTCAAGACCCAGACAGCAAAGAAATTGTGGACCCCAAACAAGATCAAAGAGAGACCCAGCCATGCTGCTAATACCTTCTGTCAAAGCAGAGAGAAATGACAATATCCTTGGATCTGAAATGTTCACCAGGGCAGGCTTTTCTGGTTTTAGAGAGGTTAGTATTGCCTCAGTTAAACTGATTGAAGTGCTCTTCACTTTAACGGTGTTGAAAAGGATCATGAGTTTAGTCCTGACACATGATCAAGATATCTAGGTCACAATTCTCTAACCCACAGTCAGGAGAGGATGCACTCGTGGCAAAGGCCGGTGGCTCTGAAGCTTCCTCTGGCTGGAAATATATGGGTGTTTTCATAACCTGCCTCCTAGCACAGAGCTCTGATCATGTTCACTTCTTTCCTTCTGTCTTCTTAACTAGGTGTAAGCATCCTGTCTATGTTCTTCTCAGCTTCTCAGGGTTTTTATTGCTCCTTCATTTTGGTTCACTTCCTTTATTCAACAGACATACTGGTGACTAATTCACTTGATTCTCTAGCCCCAAATATCATTTATATCCAGACTAAACAATGCCACTGACAGTAGTGATACTGCTGGCCATTTCACATGGACAGCAGTGCTGGGGGGACTGATACATGCTATCTGTGAGAAAAAGGCTGGCTGTAACCTACTCATCATTATACTGTCTTCCTTTGCTTGTTAACTTTCCTTGTAGTATGGTCCCTATTTTATCCAATACATCAGTAGAAGTGCAACATTAAATGACCACAATGGGATTAAACTCACCCTGCTTGCCATAGTGTAAGGACAGGACACATAGTATATATATTGAAGAAATGCATTGTAGAGACTCAAAGCAGTCACAGGGCTACCTGGATTCTGAAGCCTAAGTAATTTATTCTAAAATGATCCTTTGTATGGATATGGCTATGTGACAAATCAGGAACTAGATTACTTCTGAATTACTTCTCTTTATATTCTTAAGGGCAGACTTCTGTTTCCCTTAGTGAATTACATCTGCTAAATGTATATGAAATCAGTGTTCAATCCTAGTATCTTAAGGTGCTCAGAGAAATGGCATGAAGTAGTGATTTAAAATGACCCTAACATTACTGGAAGCAGACTGATACAGTTTTGGTGTTGAGAATTTCGGGATTTTGGATCTACAAGGGATAGTCATGATCATGTACTTGTAGGCCAGTTATGATGACTCAGGAAAGAGATCTGGAGACATGGACAGTTCTGAGGTTTCTTACAAATATTTCTTCCCCAGCATCAAAGTCCACTAAGGAAACAACATAGTTTTAGTCTGTATTTTGTGCATGTGGTAGAGATTGCCAAAATTTACTAACGGGGCATTTACAGTAAGACAGGCAATGATGCCTCTCAATTTTCCCTTTCCTGATTTACTTAATTAATATCTTAAGTCACCATCTGCTGTTTCATGTTAAATATGGAAACAGTCCTAGTTTTGTAAGTAAAAAAGAAAAAAGCTAAAGAATTTGAAATAAGAGCCATAGATTGTTCAAATTATTAGTTTAACAAAAACAAATGGAATGGAAAGAGAGAATAGCTATTGAGCACTTTGCTAGGTTCCTTTGCCATTTGGCTATTGCAGGATTTGATGTATTATCTATAAACCTGGTCCATCTGCAGAAATAAGCAGTGCAGGTCACTTACAAAGAGCTAATAATGATACTTGAAGGTTTCTTTGCAGTGCTGATGGAAAAGTACAAATAAAACACGAAATTGAGAAGGATATGCTTATTAAGGTCTATTGAAGCAGAAAACAGCTTGATAGGTATAATTACAAAATCGGCTGGCTTTTTGTTTGCATTACTGCCAAAGATTCTGCCAGCAGCATCTTAAAAAGTCTGAGAGTAGAAGATCACTACTATCCTGTACAGTTCCAAAATGCTGAAATTTTCATCACCAAATCTGTTGTCAGTCTCCTTCAAGTAACACTATGTTCATTAAAAAAAAAAAATCTCTTCATGGAGGTGCACATATCTCCCAGCACAAGGGACCCAAGAAAGACAACACCAAGACATATAATAATTAAAATGACAAAGATCAAGGATAAGGACAGACTTTTAAAAGCAGCTAGAGAGAGAAAAAAGATATATACAAAGGAAAACCCATCAGGCTATCATCAGAATTCTCAACAGAAACCTTACAGGCCAGAAGGGAGTGGCATGATATATTTAATGCAATGAAACAGAAGGGCCTTGAACCAAGAATACTCTACTCGACAAAGTTATCATTTAAATGTGAAGGAGGGATTAAGCAATTTTCAGATAAGCAAAAACTGAGAGAATTTACCTCCCACAAACCACCTCTACAGTGCATTTTGGAGGGATTGCTATAGCTAGAATTTTTCCTTAGGCTAAGTAGCTGTCACCAGGGGAAATAAAACCACAGCAAAGTAAAACAGTTAATTGCTCAGCAGATGCAAAATCAAATCAACTACCTCCAAAGTCAATCAAGGGATAGACAAAGAGTACAGAATATGATACTTAATATATAAAGAATGGAGAGGGAAGAAAAAGGAGGAAAAAGAAAAAAGAACCTTCAGGTTGTGTTTGTAATAGCATACTAAGTAAGTTAAATTAGACTGTTAGATATTAAGGAAGTTATCCTTGAACCTTTGGTAACCATGAATCTAAAGCCAGCAGTGGCAATAAGTACATACCTACTGATAATCACCATAAATGTAAATGGTCTGAATGTACCAATCAAAAGACATAGAGTCACTGAATGGATAAAAAAACAAGACCCATTTATATGCTGCCTACAAGAGACTCACTTCAAACCCAAAGCCATACACAGACTAAAAGTAAAGGGATGGGAAAAGATATTTCATGCAACTAATAGGGAGAAAAAGCAGGAGTTGCAGTACCTGTATCAGACAAAATAGACTCAAAACAAAGAAAGTTACAAGAGACAAGGATGTTACATAATGATAAAGGGGTCAGTCCAACAAGAGGATATAGACATTATAAATATCTATGAACCCAACACAGGAACACCTACATATGTGAAACAAACACTAACAGAATTAAAGGGGGAAATAGAATACAATGCATTCATTTTAGCAGACTTCAACACATTACTCACTCCAAAAGACAGATCAACCAGACAGAAAATAAGTAAGGAGACAGAGGCACTGGACAATGTATTAGAACAGATGGATTTAATGGACATCGATAGAACCTTCCATCCAAAAACAACAGGATATACATTCTTCTCAAGTGCACATGGAACATTTTCAAGAATAGATCATATACTAGGCCACAAAAAGAGTCTCAGTAAATTCAAAAAGATTGAAATTGTACCAACCAGTTTCTCATACCACAAAGGTATGAAAATAGAAATAAATTACACAAAGGAGATGAAAAACCCACAAACACATGGATGCTTAATAACATGCTCCTAAATAACCAATGGATCAATGACCAAATAAAAACAGAGATCAAGCAATGTATGGAGACAAATGACAACAATAATTCAACACGTCAAAATCTGTGGGACACAGCAAAGGCTGTGCTAAGAGGGAAGTACATTGCAATACAGGCCTACCTCAGGAAAGAAGGACAATCCCTAATGAACAGACTAAATTTAGAATTAACAAAACTAGAAAAAGAAGAACAAATGAGGCCAAAAGTCAGTAAAGGAGGGACAAAATAAAGATTAGAGCATAAATAAATAAAATTGAGAAGAATAAAACAATAGAATCAATGAAAGCAGGAGCTGGTTCTTTAAGAAGATTAACAAAATAGATAAACCCCTAGCCAGACTTATCAAGAAAAAAAGAGGGCCTACACACATAAACAGAAACAGAAATGAGAAAGGAATAATATTCACGGACACCACAGAAATACAAAGAATTATGAGAGAATATTATGAAAAATTATATCCCAACAAACAGGATAACCTAGAAGAAATGAACGACTTTCTAGAAAAATACAACTCTCCAAGGCTGACCCAGAAAGAAAATCTGAATAGACCAGTTACCAGCAATGAAATTGAAGTGGTAATCAAAAAACTACCTAAGAACAAAACCCCTGGACCAGATGGTTTTTCTGCTGAATTTTATCAAACATTTAGTGAAG